GTATGCTTATGACACCATTCTACAAGCATGCTTTGCTTCGCAAGGGCATTCTTTTTTTATTGATGGTCCTGGAAGTACCAGTAAAACCTTTTTATACCGGTCGCTGCTTGCTACTTTGAGATTACAAGGTTTTATAGCCATTGCAGTAGCAACCTCTGGAATTGCAGCATCTATCCTACCTGGGGGAAGAACTGCACACTCTAGGTTCAAAATACCTCTTGATTTCTCAAAAAACAGAACCTGCCAGCTTAGCAAGCAAGGCAGTGTTGCGAGACTGCTCTTAAAGTCAAAACTAATCTTGTGGGATGAGGCTTCCATGGCAAAACGAGCAAATATTGAGGCATTTGATGATTTGCTTAGAGACATAATGGAATCTAAACTGCCTTTTGGGGGTAAAGTTGTTGTATTTGATGGGGATTTTCGACAAACACTACCTGTTATTGAGCAAGCAACAAAGGAAATTCTTTTGCAGTCATGTTTTCTCAATTCTCCATTGTGGTATAAACTTCATAAACTGAAGTTGACAGAAAACATGCGAGCTATATTAGATCCTCAATTTTCTGAATTCTTGTTAAGAGTTGGTGAAGGGCGTGAACCTATTGACTTCAGCGGTGAAATAACCTTGCCAAGAGATTTAGTCATTCCTTATTATGATAAAGAAGAGTCCTTAAACAGGTTACATGCCTTAATAACTTCTGGTTTATCTATCTACTCTTTAATGTATACGGCTTCTAATTAAACTCCTTTATGAACAGGTTACTATACTCTGTATTTCCAGATTTTACTCTCTATTCCCAGGATCCATATAGCATGATTAATAGATGTATTCTCATCCCTAAAAATACCTCGGTTGATGAGCTGAATGATATAATGATTAGAAGGTTTCCTGGAGAACTTCAGACTTACATTAGTTTTGACAAAACTGTTGATCAGTGGCACCAAGGGGATTATGAGGATTTTCTTAATTCTTAAAATCCAAAAGGCCTTCCTCCTCACAGGTTAATGTTAAAGGAAAACTGCCCGATTATACTGATAAGAAATCTAAATCTTGTTGAAGGCCTATGCAATGGCACAAGACTTATATGTAGAGAGCTTGGCCGACATACCATCTCTGCTGAAATTGTCTTCGGCCAGCATCGAGGAAAAAGAGTTCTCATTCCAAAGATACCGTTACAAACTCCTGACAACCAAAAGAATTCGATTGCATTCATAAGAACTCAATTTCCTGTTCGACTTTGTTTTGCATTGACTATTAATAAATCTCAGGGACAAACTCTCGATTATGTTTGCATTTACTTGCGAGAGCCTGTCTTTTCTCATGGACAGTTATATGTAGCCTAGTCCAGAGCTAGAACTTCAGCTGAGCTGAGAATAATTATTGTACCAGGAACTTTTGATGGTATAAAAATAGACTACAAAACTAGAAATGTTGTGTTCAGTGAAGTTGTTGAATTGAGCCAGCAGTAGAATGTTCTTATATTCAGGTATACTTGCACCAGTCTATAGCTGTGTTTACTTATTACTAAGGTCTTATGTATACTCAAACCTGTATATTATAATCATTTTCCCTTTTTTTATAGAAATGTCTAACCTCTTGCCGATTGGGGATATCATGCCTGATATGAAAAACTGGTCATGTATCATAACAGTTCAGGAAAAGCAACAGGTCACGGATTTTATGGGAACACCAACCAAAAAGCAAAAGTTTGTCTTCTATGATTCAGAGGTTACATTTTAGAACCTGAAATGACCATTAATTATTTGATCTTTTATTTATTTGTCCATCGTATTTGTTATGTGTAATTTTTTTTGCGTGTTGATAGGGCTCTAAAGTTGAAGGGATAATCTTCAATGCTGATATTCCAAGGATGAGTCCTATGCTGCAGGTTTATAAGAGATATAAAATTTCAAATGCTGATGTCAGGACTATTCCGCCAAAGTTTCAAAGTGCTGAATTAACCAAATAGTGGGTGATCACTTCAAAAACTGTCATTGAAGAAATCGATGGCAATGAAGATATTATGCCTGTTAAATTTGCTTTCACTAAGTTTGCTGATTTAGCTGAATACATGGATGATAGAAGCAAGTCCGTCGGTGAGTATGCAAATAGTCTATCATTCATATTTTTATCACAAATCGTTATTTTCTCAGCTTGCCTTCTTTTTCTTTGCAGATGTCCTCGGAGTGGTGATCAGTTCATTAGCCATGAAGATAATCACTAGAAACTCCAAACAGTCAAATGTTCAAAAATTTGTCCTCCTCAATGAAGAGTAAGCAATCTTTTTAACAATCACTACACACTCTTTTACTGGCCTTATCTCACTTTTCCTATATCTTTGAATCATTTCCCTCCTGACTTTTATATCAATGTTAGGTCTCAAATTGTACTGCTATCTTTATGGGATGATTTCGTGAACAATGAAGGTCAAGTTATATTGAATAACATGCAAAGCTATCCTGTTATTATTGGTCGAAGGCTGAAAGTTAACAACTACAATGGTCTGTTGAAATGCTGTCTTTTTTGTATTATAACCTTTATTTGTATACCAAGATTCTCAATCATAGTTCAATCTTTATTCTGTTGTTTATTCTACAGGTGTTTCTCTCCCTACTTGGTTCGATTCTGCATTGCTTGTTGATCCACCAATACAGGAAGCAAGGCAGCTCAAAAATTGGTGCAATGACATTAACGAATATTTTTTTTATGCATCTCAGTGTCACTTGTATCTTTACACCAACCGATAATTTCCTTACACCATTTTTTTTTGTAGGGCAATGAGGAATACTAAGTCAATTGCAGGAATCATTGATGCAAAGAGTTACATTAAATACAATCCTGTACTTTCTTTAAAAAGGGACCAGAAAACTACTCTAATTTGCAATGTTACCCCATCACAGAAGGTAATCAAATGATAGCCTGTTATGTAATTTTATAGCTTCATATCTGTTCAGCCTTTCATCTAATAAATGTCTATCTTTTAGACTGCTTGGGTCAAGGCAAAGCTCTCCTTTGAACATATCTTCCAGAAATATTGGTACATGAGTTGTGCAAAGTGCTACCGAGCTACAGCAGCAGACTATGGAATTGAGTTTACTTGTAATTCATGCAAGGAGAAAAGCCCCGCTATGCCTAGATCGTGTATTACCGAATCACTAACTTTAATTATGCTGCTTAATTTCTCTTAAACTTAATGTTACACCATATATAGCCTAAGCGTTTGTATGCTTATCTTTCAGATGCCGGTTTGACGTTGATTTGAGCGATGACAGTAGAGTTATACCTACTTCTATCTTTGGAGATCTAGCAGAAAATATTCTCACCTTCACTGGCCTTGAAGCAATGGATCACTTTAATCAGGTTATTTTAATTGATCAAATTTAATGATAAGTGTAGTATTTCCATGTCGCCTTATATATTCTGTCCTTCTTCCAGAATCTTGAGCTGCCACTCGAGTTTGTTCATACGCAGCTTAAAACAAAAACATTTCTGGTTCACATTAAACCAGTCCAAACGCAGCTCGTTGATGCCAGACAGCGTTATACCGTTTTATATTGCTCTGAAACTGAACCAGAATTCGGTTGTCCTCAGTTAACACATGAACCAGAATCTGTCTCTCTTTCGATTGACCAGCAGACAGAAAATGAGCAGCTACTGACAGCAGGTTGATAAATATACCTAGAGTTGTGATACATAACTATATTTTCTCTCAATCAACTATTAGCTTAACTAAGCATTGCGCTTACAGGACATGGTGGTTCTAGCTCAAAAGTGTGCCTTCGACTCAGCCAAAAGTTTGACGAAGTAGAAACTCTCGACAGCAATGACTTTGACAGTCCAAATGCTGACTCCAAGAAGAAAGCAAAATTAGGCTGAATTGCCTTCACTACCTTTTGGATTGCTTAGACATTAATATTTTTTTGGTTCTGTCATCTGCACTTCTATGCTTAGGCAGATTGTTAGTGGCTTTTGGAAATACTACTCATCCATTCACAATTCCCTGGCTTTTGTACGTGGTTATCTACTAAACAGCTTTTGTCATGACCATTGAACTTTGATAATAGCACCTGTATCAAAGTTCTTGTCCGGCTTTCAAAGATTGACTGAAATCCTCCATCTAAGGAAGCATAAGGATTTTTACAGATATCTTTGGATACCTGACGATGAACTCCCTTTCTGTGGAACTGACAGCTACAATTGTTGCTATCACTTTCGAACATCCAATTTTGTATGTATACTTATTCATTTATTACACAAGGCTGCATTTTTTCAAATCAAACTTATATATTCACTTCCTGCTACTTACATGTTAGACTATCTGCTCCACTTAACATACCAAGTACACGTTAAATTATAATTTTGCTTTCAAACCATTAAAGCATTGCAGATGCATTACTTTACATGCTGTCAATTGACAGCTCACACTTAATGTTTACCATTCAATTGTCTTTTCTATTCATTGTTCCTTACCTTCCTCTACTGCAACTAATAAATCTTTTCAATGGTGGTAGGAAAAATCTTGTACTTAGCATTAAAACCAATCAAAAATGTACTCTTTTTATATTCATCTTTTCTTTATATATATGCTCTTTATCTTTTACAAGATCATACATAGAAAACTGTCCACCATACAATTGCATCATACAATTTCTGCAGAAGAACTTGTCAATAGGTAAGTTGCTCTGCGATCTATTTCTAGCACTCATAAGATAATACAGGCTTGTGCTTGCAATTTCTGTTAACAAGCCGCTTTTTTGCTTTTTCGATTCTTCAGCTTTCTTTTTGATAGATCAATGGCAGAAACAATGTTTGTATCTCCGACGAATTTTCCTTCGACAAATAGCTGTTTACCAGCTTGCTGTTTTCTACTCAAATGCATCCACAGAGGGCAAGTTAACTTTTAATTCGTGTTCACTTATATTGCAGCATTTACAGTTGAATAGCTTGGTATTGTTTGACGTTGTTTTCCTGCCTCATTTTTTCAAGGTATTACCTAGTCAGTTTGAATTGTTACTTCATCAGCATCATTGCAATAGAATCGTTCTAAGGTTTGGACTGCGGCAATGGACTATCGCAGTTACTGATCACGCATTCCAAGAAGGATGGGATGCTTTTTGTGAACACAACATTGTTAAAAGACATGACACGTTGTTACTTCGACATAGCTGAAATCTGATATTTGATGTCATTCACTTTTGTGAACTGCAAAAACAAGTTTTATTGCCCTAGACAGTTCCCCTACCAGACCTTTTGCACATGAATGTCATTGCATCACGAGGTCAAAATATCACTATATTTATCTCATATCCTCATCCATATCATATATAATTTTTAATTTATAACATAATTACTGATTGCAGATGATATCCATACACCTACTAGACAGCAGCAAGTTGCTTCCTCACTGAGGCCAAATTTCTGCCAAGATCTATCTGATTCGATTTGCTTTTATAAAACATTTAGCTCTGCAACTCCAAACAGTTTGGTAAGCTATTCCATGTTTACCCGCATTTTCTTTGTCATCTAAACTTTTTTTGAATCAATTTCCTTTTCTTTCTGCATATCTTCTGATATACACCTCTTCATGACAGAAAATTCCACGCTTTATTGATCACTTCATCAATGGTACCAAGACTCCCATGTTGCTTATCAATACTGGAAACAAAAATGCTCAGATAGGTGTAAAACATAAACGCCTTCACCAAAACTGGAGAGATTTCATTCTTGAGCATCGACTGCAACACAACGAAACTCTTGTTTTTGTTCCGGAATATGAAAATATATTTACAGTTTTAGTTTTCGACGATACTGGAGTTGAAAATATTTTTCCTTGGTATCACACATTCAATATTTATTCAAATGCCTAAAGAATTTAGCTGGACTATGCTGTGTAATCTACCTATGAATTAAATACATTACTGGTAATTTTCGCTTCTTCTTAGCTAAACTATACAGACACTAGCTGACGATCCTTGATACATTACTTCTTGTTTCAATTAATTAATATTATAAAATTAATTACTCAACTAGGCATTACTGGGCATCATTACATTCACACACCGCGCATCGTGCGGTGATACCCTCCTAGTTCAACTTAAAAAGATGTTGTCCAAATCCCTTAAATTAGTTGGTGGTCGTCCTCCTGCATGCTTAAGTCACGTGCACTGTGGATTGGAAGTTGCTTTTTTGAACAGAGTGGTTCTTTCCGTTTTCTTCTTTTCTTCTTTTTATTCTTCTTGTTGTGTTATATTATATTTATTGTGGTGCTGGATTTCTCTTTTTCCCCCTATTCCCCCCAAACTCTGCTGCTATTTAATTGCTTGCCATGTTATTATTTTTGCATTATGTGTATTACTGTTATTATTAGTACTGTATTATTTGTATTAGAATGTATAATTTTGTGGTGTTGCTACATTTCTTATATTGGTTTGGTTCTCTTTTTTTCCCCGGTTTCTTTTTTCCTTTTTTTCCCCCAAATTCTCTTGCTATTAAATTGCTTGCCATATTATTATTAATTTATTATTATTATTATTAGAATATTAAGTTGCACCATTGTGTTGTTTTCTCCTTTTTTCCGGAATAATAAGTTGCCAAAATAATTACACTTGCAAAAATTCTTTATGAATTGTGGTGCTTTTGAGAGGTCTTTGCTGAATCGTTGGATTTAATAAAGGATCTTTTATGTATGAATGAATAATGGAATTTGCGTGTGTTATGAGTTAAATACGTGTAATCGGCTGACCATGTCCTAGTTTAGTAGCTAAAGATAAGGATGTAGAAATTAGGTATCCTAACTTTAAATCTCATGTTGACTTTTTTTTACCGACAATATTTTTTCTCAAGGTTATTGTTTTTTATAATATTTTTGTTATTATAATAGAATATGCAATTGTGCTATTATGTAGTTTATTCCTTTTTCTCGATTAATAGTTTTCCAAAGAAATTGCGCCTGCCAAAATTCTTTATTATTACGTGGTACTTTTCCTTTTTGGATAGAATGCTTCCTTCCGTTTTGGTCTTTTTTGTTCTTTATATATTATATTATATTTGTGGTGGTGCCGCATTTCTTACCGGTTTTGCTCTTTTTTCCCCTTCTTGTTCCTTTTTTTTCTCCCAAAAACTTTGTTGCGGTTAAATTGCTTACCATATTGTTACTTTATTATTATATTAATATTATTATATTATGATTATTACTGTTATCTACCTTTCACAGGTAGTAATAATTGTTGCACCGCAACTAGAATTCTTATCGTCTTTTTTTATGTAAATGTATAAATGATGATATAATTGTGGTGCAACTGGAATGCTTATTGCTTTTGAAATGTTTTCTATTTTTTTTGTATGAATTATGATATTCGCTTGTATCTTACAAATTGGATATGGATAGGATCCTATTTTTTCCCTTGCTAGATGGGGTTGTTATTTTTCCTTTTCTTTTATACCTTTTCCTATTTTTTTATAAACAATTGATATCTTTTTCTATTTTTTTTGCGGGGGTTTTACTCTTTCTTTTTTTATTTGAATTCTATTGCTTATGTAATAAAAATTGTAAAAGATGTCCTTTTTAGTGATAAATGTTTTGTGCACGTTTATTCTTTTGTTGTGTGATAAAATGTACAATTGTACCACTATATTTTTTACTGTTATTTTTAATAATAGATTAAGAAAAAAATTCATCCTGAATTTTTTACTACTTGTTTTACCGTGTCTTTGTCGTGATTATATGTTTAAATTGTAATTTTTATGAGCTTTTTTTATAATAAAATATATAATTGTATTACTTAGTTGTTTTCTTTCTATTTTTAATAATAAGTTAGAGAAAAAACTATTCACAAATTTTTTTACCCACTTTGCAATAAGTTTGTATTAAATTTTGTGTCCAGAGTTTCATTAAGGTCTTCTCTTTTTTGAATTAAGGAAAAGAAATATGTTTGAGATATGATTGTAGTGCGGTTGCAATCCTTATTATTAATTTTATTAAGAGGCCTTTCATGTACAAATAAATGATGAAATTCACCTATGTCATAAATTACATAGAGGTGCAACCAGCCTCAGAGGCCTTGGTTTAATAGTTAAGATTTAGGTTTTAGGAATTAGAGGTTCTAAGTATAAATCTTCTTGTCCCTTATTTGTCTCTTAAGTTCCACTTGTCCTTTGCCCAAAAAAAAAATTGAAAAAAAAATAGATACAGGTGTCATCTATTTCATTTTTAAACTCTTGAATGGAGTTGTTTTATTTTTTTAAACAATTCATGTCTTTTTCTCTTTTTTTTTTTTGCGTGGGTTTATTCTCCTTTGCTATTTGAACTCTATTTCTATGATTCTAATGCACAATAATAATCATAGAAAATTTTTTAACCGGCAATATTGTTTTATGACTTTGCCGTCTTTTTATAATAAAATATACAATTGTGTTACTATGTTGTGTTGTTCTCTTTTTTGTCCAAATAATACATTAGAAAAAAAATATCCCTACCAAAAATATCTATAAATAGTATTAGTTTTAAGAGGTCTTTTATGTATTATTTTTAAGAGGCCTTTCATGTACAAATAAATGATGGAATTTGCGTGTGTCATAAATTAGATCTAGGTGCAATCTGCTAAGGAGATTTTAATTTAGTAGCTAAAGTTGAGACTCAAAAAATTAAAAATTTTAGATTCAAATCCTCCGACAATACTTTTTTTTCAAGTTTACCGTCTTTTTTTATAATAACATATCTATATTTATATCTACTAGATGAAGAAATGTCCTCTTTCACCATAGCTACCCTTATTGTTTGACATGTGGCAGCGGGAACGGAGAGATTTTTCTCCAGCAGGGTCACTCGACATTCGAGCCATCAAATGACTTCAAGATCAATTCTTTGTTAGGCTCTAAACTTTTAACAAAGGAGCCCAACCACTTGTTGTAAGAAAAATCAAACGAGTCAGAGGATGCCTCTGATAGTCATAGCCATGCATCTCCTCCAAATTCTTTCTTTCTCCAACTTTTAGTGTACTTCCGGTCTATTTAATTTCAAATTTGATATGTTTGTCCATAAAATCAGCCACTTTTGTGCTATTTATTGACCATGATTCAATATTTTTCTAATGGATCTCTCCCAACCTTTGCATTTTTAGCCTGTATACCTTCTCGTTGTCTTGGACGTTGGATTACACCTAATTCTCAGATTTTCAGCAATATAATTTCTGTACTTTTTCCTCAAAATTTGCAACCCTTTCTCTCATTTCTCTTTACCGGGGACTCTTGACACTCGCTGCTTCCCCTTTTTCATTTGTTTTCTATCAAAGCTATCCTTTACATTTGATTTCTTTTTTTTTTTTTGGCAATTTACTTACTTTATTTTTGGAATTTTATTTTATGGTTTGGTAGGAAACTAGGATTTCATACGAAAGCACCCTTTGCGTTGTTTAGTTCATATTTCAGGCTTTGAGCTAATATCTAAGAGCCCATATTTTGGCGAAGTATCCCTGATGGAGTTGTGGATGACCTCTCCCTAAATTGCAACCTTGTATGTAGCCATAGCGTTGCTATTATCTCCTTGCTGATTTCGTGGGAAATCTGACGCTAATTTTAATTGGGAAATCCACTACTTCAGTGATTTCAATTTAAATAATTTTTTATTGTGTTGTGATACCAATTTAAATTCTTATTTGTGAATTTGATTATTTACAGGTTTTCTTGCCATGTAAATACCTACACAGCAGTACTCTAACACAATAGCTAGGTACTTCTTGTATGTTTCGATATTCAGCAAGTCTTATTTTTTGTGCATTTTTTATTTAGTGTTAGAATTTTCTGGGATTAAAGTCTTCCAAACAAGCTTGGGTTTCATTCAGATATATACTTATAGTTGTTAGCATGAACTGTTTCTAATGTGGTAAACTTAATGTCATGAAAGGACTGTGCATTTCTAAACTTAATGTCTTGGAAGGACTGTGCATTTTCAAAAGTATTCGTACTTTGAAGGAGGGGCTGCTACATGAGGTTATGATTTCTAAAACTCCTGATGATTAGTTTTTCATCCTAAAAAAGTCATGCTTTGGAATTATTTTAAATTACTTTGCAGGATGAAGGATTACATATTAAACCTTTGACCTCTTTGTGAACAATTATTAGACAGAGGAAATAAAGTTATTTATTTTGATCTATTTCTCCTTCTATATTTTGGGTTTTTATCCTATGCAAGTTCCTATATTTTTTTCCCTCTTTTGGTCAGAATCTCAATGGTAGTTCTTGATAAACTTTACATAGTACTTGCAGCAAAAATTTTGTTTAGGTAATTATACATGTGTGTGTGTTCTTTTGTTTTCTGTAAAATGGCAGCCAAGTGTGAAATTTTGAATAAGTAAGAGTGTGCGAGTCTGTCCGTTTTTCCCCCTTAAAAAATGGCAGCTGCATGTGTTTGTGTGCCTTTTTGCTTCTCTAAAAATGGTAGCTAAATTTGAATATGTGTCTGGTTTATTGGGAAAAGTTAAATGTAGCATTGACTGAATAAGTTGATATTGGTTTCTTAATAGGAATGCCAATGGCTTAATTCTTCTCGTTGCATTATTTGTAGGGAATGTTGAACGCTAAGGGGGTTTTTTCCCTCTCTAATTTGGATTTAGTCCCAGGGGAATATGAAGGTTGCATATCTTTTTGTTTTTGTGGTTTTACTGTCTCCCTAACCAATGAAAGATATATTTAAAGCAATCAGTTTTTATGGGGTGCAAAGCAAGATGCTTGCATTTTTGATCGACACACATGTTCATGGGATTTTAATATTTTTGTTTCTAGAGTCCTGTAACTGATCTGTGTTATTGTTTTTGAAGGATTGAAATTATTGAAGGTTTCAGTGGATTTAGTGAAAAATCTCCACTTAGAGATGGAAGATGGAAAATGTCATCTACTGGAAAGTGAGTTTTAGATGT